TAGGAGTGAATGTGTGTGTGAGTGGTTGTTTGTCCTTGTATGTCTCTGTGTGGCCCTGCGATGGACTGGCGGACTGTCCAGGGTGTACCCTGCCTCTCGCCCGTTGACGACTGGGATAGGCTCCAGTTCCTCCCGTGACCCCATCAGGGAATAAGCGAAGGGGGAAGAATTATCATTGATAATGGATGGATGGATGAAAATTGGTATCATTATCTCCAGTTTCTTGTCATTAACCCTTTAACACTTTTACACTAAGTAAAAAGAATGTGAAAGCATTTCTTTGCTTTTTAAAATTTCTCTGGGGCGATAACAACAAGAATCAAGGCTTTTTTGACAGATATTTGGGATGACACTTTATGATAAATGTATGAAATTTAAAAAATGAGAAGTCACACAACTCGTGCTAAATTTAGGCGTCACATACATAAACTAAATGTAAGAGCTAGTTCAGGTAAGTGCATTTCATCTAGTATATCCTGTGAACAAGTAGAATCAGGGAAAAATGAGCTCTACCAAATGGTTTAGCAGGGATGTTAAAAGGGCGAAGCCATTCTACACAGTTAAGATTAAATTTTGCTGAAATTTGTCCAAATAATTGTTTTATATACACACCACAAATACTGTCCCTGTTGAGCATGACACATTTTGAACTAGGTCTTCCCAGGACCCAGCGCGCTGCTGTATTAAAAAGAAAATAGGAATTTGATGCAGAACAAACTTCGACGAGTGCCAAATGATCCAAAGCAGAGAAGGGTCACAATAAGCCTCTCCATACAGCAGATCTTTGTCTATATCAATCTTCTGCCTGCACACCAGTTTATTTCAGACTGGTGATTAAGATTAACCTATTTTAATTAGTATGTGAAGCACCATCCCTGCAAGAAGTTATTTATGATTTACTGTGCTAATCAGCTTAATTTGATCTTGGTTAATTACACTTTCAGACCCAATTAAACAGTATAACTCTACTTTGGTATACTATAAATTAGCAAATGGTAATCTACATATCATCTTAATCAATGAGAACATAGTAGTATTCGAGTAGAAACTCTTTTTACCCTGAAATGGCATGTTTGGGCAGACGGCTACCTTGCTACTGTGAGACATAAAGACATGACGCATAACCACTTAAACTGTCAAATTAGCTGAAAAAACATTTTCATGATTAACATGTGGGTTCTCTGGGGTCCATGAACACGCATTTCTTATTAAACTGTGTCTATAAAATGACCCTCAGTGTAAGCATTCCTTTGTTCCTTGTGGTTGTTCTAATTATGGTTCTCGTCATTTTCCTGTTAATCAATCAATTAAAATGGATACGTTGAAGTCCCAAATATACAATTAGGTCTGTAAAGATTTATACAGAGACACCTTTTAAAATTTTGGCTCTGTACACTCAGATGCAGATGGGGTTCAACGTTCAACTTTAATTGACTGGATTGAAAAAAAAAATGCAGACGCTTTTGCACTTCATTTAAGGGGCTCAGACTTAATTGGACAAATTAAATAACCGAAAATATACAGTTTATTTCTAACACTTTGTTGAAAACCATTTGCTGGCAATGACCACCTGGAGTCGCAGTCTCATGGACATCACCAGATGCTGGACTTCCTCCTTTTTATTGCTCCGACAAGCCTAAAATCCAGCGGCTTTTGGTTGCTGTTTGTTTTTTGTTTTTTGTTTTTTTCTATCCTACCTTTAGTCTTCAGTGAGCGAAAATGCATGCTTAATTTGGTTAAGATCAGGTCTTTTAAAGAATCTTGTACTTTAAAAAAAAATCCTGGGTTTCCTTAACTGTATGCTTCGGATAATTGTCTATCTCTATTATGAAATGTTGCCCAATTCATTTGACTGTATTTAGCTGGATTAGAGCAGACATTATGTCTCTGAATACCTCAGAATGAATTTGTTTGCTTTTGTTCTATGTAACATCTTCAAGAAACATTATTGTCCCAGTGGAACTACCATCTATGCAAGATGAAGCCATTACACTGCCTTGCCATCATTCTGTTAGATGTTGATCGTGGCTTTATCTCTCCAAATAATGCCTTTTCAGAACTGTACTGGCTTTTTTCGATGTTTTCTTTTTTGTTTGTTTTTTAGATAAAATCTAGCCTTGATCTTTTTCAGGTTTAGTGATGGCACTCTGTATTGTAATGAACCCTTTGTATATTGTCATGCAGTTTTCTCTTTATGGTAATATTCTAAATCAATACATCTACCTCCCGGGTAGTGCTGTTCACTTTGTCAGCTGTTGTTGAAGGGTTTGTCCCCATGGAAATGTTTCACAGAATCTGTTAATGCATAAATGTGTCATTTATATTTGAGATTTGGTTGCAAAAACCAGCCTATTTTAAGTGGCGTCGCCATGCAGTGCAGAGGAAGGTTGGATTGAATATCCTCCCTCCTGATTAAATGAAGCATGATCAGGCATGTTTGGCGTTGGGTAGGTAGTTTTTCTCAACTTTGCATGATTAAAGTGCATTTAATTTCACATAGTATCAAGGTGGGGCCTGCTATTTTACATTTTATAATACTGGATATTCTTATTTAGAATTTATTTCATCATAATAAACAGAGATGTTTTTTCAGGAAGACAGCTGTGGAAAACTTCAGATACATAAGGGATATAGGTACAGTGTTCTGAGATTAATCTATATGTCCGATATAATTTGTTCACTCACAACCATGGGCAGATATGCTCTCTGAGGACAAACTATAGAATTAACCTTAATTTAAATTAATCCTTTAAATTCTCATAGCTTCTTTTTGTCCAACATGCCAATTCAGGACAGCATTGTGAATATGTCACACCTGAGAAATACTTTAGATGGTGATTATGTTACAGGGTAGGAAGTGTGTTCTTGCATGGTTTGATTGTTTTAATCCTTTGTGCATGTTTGTTGACTTCTGCATGTTTTACTTTTCCTCTGTAACCCTTCCAATGTTTCGCATCTGTCTGGGACGATGGATGACTAAGTCAGGAGGCCTGTTGGAAGGATTTGACCTCATGGCATGGTGTGGATGGATAAGGTGGTGGATTTATGTGATGAATTGTGAGGTTCAAAAGATAATTGTCTTGATATGGAAGAACGTCTACAGGATAACTCTCCCCCGACGAATATTCAAATCTTGCAAATTAATTCCACATCTTCATCAATGGGATCCTCGTCAAAAGTTCATGTCATATATGTATTTTAAACACTTTTTCCCCCTTTCCCGACTGAATGAGAAATTGAAACGGCAAGAGTGTTTTCAAGAGGGCATGACAGAGGATACACAGAGTTTATTGAGAAAAATCTGCTCCCGACCAGGTTGATTCTAGGGAGAATGTTGCTACGGCAACAGACACAGAGGGGGAGTAATCTCTCGTAGTGAAACAGAATACTCAGAGTGTCCGCCATTTCAGAGTTAACAAACACAGAGTTGTCATAAAACCTACTTCATGAAACGGACCCCAGCGCAACAAAACACACAACATAGTATCAATACTGACATATTTATTTTCTTTCCTTGACATAAAACAAAGAATATCAGTAATGAAGTACTGAGTTTATATTGCTAAGGTGACTGTCACATATGCACATCACTGTAATCGTTGAAAATAGAATAACACTGAGAAAGGGAAGTACTGTAATTGTGATAAAATATGTGCAATAAATGCCAAATAACACTCATCTGTGCCAAGTACAAATAGAGGACCTTCAATGATATGTTACAAAAATACAACACTTGTGAAAGTGGTGCTCTTTATTATTTGTGCCTTTTTAAAAACACATGTCCATGCTTCACCTACGCATATCAACTCAGCCAATCAAATCCCTAATCCCTGTCTCCTCTGTGTGTGCAACATATGTAATTAATTACACATTTGTGTTGCTATTAATGTAGACACAGCTGAAGTTTTACAAATATCACCATAGACATATACCTTTAGCAAGTGAGATAATGAAAATAACTTATCAATTAAACAAGGTGGTAAATACAATAAGATGACAAAACCAATGAAAATGTGCAATATTTATCATAGTATTAAATAATGAGTAAGTACATTGTTTCCAGTGTATTATAAAACCATATGGCTCTGATGAGCATTATTTTTCTGTATATTAAATGAGCTCATAGCAGTGTTTGGCAGTATGGCAAATAGCACAGGTAAAGCAAGGAGTACACAAAGGTTCAAGAGGAATATGCTGCAAAGTAGCTACAACTGTTGAATATGTTGAATTGCATTAATAACATATCCAATCGATTTATAAATAACACGGCATACAGAATAATGTAGCTGAGTGACTGGTAAGATTTATTACAGCTAATGATCAATAGAGATTGACGAGAGGAACACAGTGAGTTCAGGTACTTTACTCTAAACTGGAAATATTACAGAGACATTTGGCACATTCACATCTTTTAATGGAAAATTGAAGTGAGTTTTTTCCTATTAAATCCAAAGCATCTATCAGAGACAATAGATTAGATTTTCCCTGAGCTTGTAAAACATTTTTTACTGTGTGCCTCCTAAGTGTCTTTCTAAAGAAAGTTACATGCAAAACTCACCCTTTTGTCTAGATGCTATCATCAAGCATGTAAAAAATTAGATATACTTAAGAAAGGAAGCACATTGTAGTTTCTAAGCATCTAACAAAAGTAACAGCAACATTAATAGAACATACTTTTTCGTCAGATGTGAAATTCAAATAATGCTTTTATCTGGTTATTATAAATTCAAGGATGGTTGCATGCAAGTAGGTGTTAACAATGTGAAAATATGACAAAAGAATATTTTCAAACTAGGAAGTTAACAATTTAAAGAGTTATGTCATTGCACTTGGTAGATTCTATAAATCACACCCAGTAGTAATACATAGATTATGAACTGACTCGTTTTGAGATTATAAAGTTACAGCTGATGTTTTGGTCAATCATATGTTACTGACACACTTTGATCCTGAATGAATCTCAATTAGAATCTGTTTTTCACGTACTTATAATAATGTATTTACTGTTTTACTGTGTGAAGAAGTAACAGCAAAATGGGGCTGAATGCAGTTATATAACCATGGTTCTGCATTTTTAGACTTGTGTTCTGTATTGACCACAGTTGGTGCCATTACAAAGGTCTTCTAGCAATTTAGTTGCACTTGTACAAAGTTGTATCAGTGTTAAAGTCCCTTTTGACCTATATATGTCTCACACAAAAAGTGAATTCACATCAATTTCTTTTACTTGGCTGATCATTTTGATCACTTTTCACTTTTGGCAATCCGACAGCAAATTTTCAATATAAATCACTTTGATTTTAGATATTAGAAATAGTGACAATAAAGAAAAATATATTCAATTGCATATTTCATGTTTATGCTTTAAGAATTAATATCAGTGACATACATCAGCTAAAATTACTGTTTGGATAACAACTATTTTTTCCTCTTTTTGCTATAATGTTTTTTTCTATAATCCACAGTGATGCTTGTGCTTATGTTAAACTCTGATATGTTTAGATTAATGTTAGCTATCATGGTGCAGTATAAACAAGACCATTGCAGAGAGCAAAACAATTGCTGGAGACAGAAGTGGCCTGTATAGTGAGAGATTTGGTCATCCACTCACATAGGGCTTGTCATGCTCACATGTTGTCCAGTTCTGCGTGATTCAGTATTCTTGAGTGTCAGGGTTTTGGGGATTCCCATATATGTGATCAAATGATAAGTCCAGCAGATTCTTCATACCCTGCTGAAGGTTGACTTATTCCACTTCCGGTTCTCTGAAATCGAAAATGCAGAGCAGAGTGAAATGCTGCAACACTGCACAACATTCTGTGGCTCATACATTTAAAAGTGATAATGTAGCCAACTAAACATCTTTAACGGTTGCTCTTCCTGGGTCAAACAGAAGACATTGAAAACAAGCCATGAACATTTTTGAACATTTAAAATGTAAAGTTGGTTGGTGCACAAAATATGTTGAAATCTTCAGCCTTTGCTAATGTCTTCATATGTTCTACCAGGAGGGGAGCAGAAATATTTTCTTCACAGCCACCCTTACATGCAGACTATTTCTGATGAGGCTATTGCATACAGGCTTAAATGAGTGGCGCAAGATTTCTGCAAAGCGAATAAAATGAAAACTGTGTTTGTGTACTGTTAGATAGATCATCATCTATTTCTGTTTTTTTAAACGTACTATCTTATATTGCAACTAAGATGACAAATCCAGGTAGTCATGCATACACATGCTGCAGTAATGTACTGTACAAATGATGCCTGGGGAATTTGTGTTAGTCAAACGTTAAGCTGCTTTTGGCTCAGTGGAAATGAAAATGTAAATGGGATGACTTTGAAAGAAAACTGTGTCGAGTGATTTTTCAGCTGAGTCACATAAATGTACATGCTGCATGAAGTCTTACAGTTGGCAAGCTGAAGTCTTGTCTCTTCTTTCTGTTGGCTTTGAGTGGCTCTTGTTTTTGATTTGACATAAGTCAACTTCTTTGTTTCCATTTCACCTACAAAAAATAAAGAATGACACTCATTTCAGATTTTTGTTTGCCAGAATTTACCTCTTTCTACTGAATTAATTACATAATTGTTTTATTACACTCTTTCACTCTCTTTTCACACTTGCAGAACTTGACCGTTTTGTTGACAGTACTACAAAGTCAACATGTATAACTCTTATAAGACTAATTGAGAATTTGTCTTGAAAGATAGTCTTAGTAACTTAGGTGAAAGTCCTCTGTAAAAGTGGAACTTACTATTCATCACTAACAGAAGTGAACAAGAATAATCCCAGGTTTCTTTTCAGTATTGTAGCCAGGCTGACAAAGAATCTAAGCTCTGCTGAACCATGTATTCCTCAGTAATATGAGGAATACAGTAATGATTTACACACATGCACAGACAGACAAACACAAACATATGTAATTGTATATATTAGTCACTGTTGTGTTATAATGTAATGATAATCAGGAACACTGACAAATCTCTGCAGATGATACTCTAAAACCATCATGGTTTTGTCACATTAGCTCACTCAGTTGGATTCCAGCTGTAGCTATCTCAGCAGGCAAAATCAATGGTCACCAGCTATAACTGCTTCTGCCTGAAATGAAAGACCTCTGTAGGTCAGTGTTTGCGCTGGGATATCAGAAAGCAGCTCACATCTACAGTATCCTTTTAGTATTACAGTTCTGTTAGTTGTAATGAAACAACAACTAATAGAGCTCATTCTATAAACAGGGCCAAACATATTAAACATCTTCGAAAAGGACAGTGAGTTGTACATGATTTTGATTTGGAAGAAAGTTAGCCACTATATTTGCATTTGAACTCAGGTGATATTGTAAAACTGATTTTCAATCAGTTTGAACTAAAACAATTACAACTTTCTTATTGAGTGCTCTACATCACATGCTGATAATCACCACTTTACATCCCCATCAAGGGGTTGTTCACCTCTGAAGTAGCTCATGTATTATTTCAACTGTAACAAATGTAATTTGTAATGATGGTCAGAAGCCTATCCCAACTAGATTATATGTGTCATTTCAGTTCCTGGAGTTCACAATATTAGTTATCTACTATAACTAAGAGAACTTCCCTGTATCAACCATAATTAAAATTGTGATGTTATATACTATGACGTCTGTCTTCTTATGACATTTAAGAAGCTTAAAATGTGTTTAAATTATATTAAAAAACTTCCTGAAATGTGCTGTTTAAAAATGTTGACATGAGAAAAGGTTCAGTGGACTAGCAACCTGTGTAGGGCATACCCCACCTATATTTGGGTGGCAGCAAGGCAAGGCCTTGAAAAATTGATATTGAAAGAATTAAGAGTTAGTTTATTTTGGAGACCAGGTGTATGGTTTTGGTGCAAACCAGGGACGATAATCTGTTTTTCTATTGATGGTAAACTGCACATAGCTGGAACTGTCCATTTACTGTACCTTGAGGTGGTCTGGGTAGCCTGATCTGCATATCACACCTACTGGCAGTGGTCATAATGGGTTCAGATGGGGGTTGGATGGACTGGAGGAAGGCCACAGTGGGGAAAGGCACTGATGGGATATGGGTCATAGAGGAGTCAGACAGAGAATTTGACACTCCTGTGTGGATGTGTTCCTTAAAGCTAGAGGGTATCCTCCACCCGGGTAATGGGGAAGGAGACATGTCCTCACTGGAGGTACCAAGGACACTGTGAGAACTCAGAGACTGATCTGGGGTTGAAGAGGATTTGGGGAGGAAGTGCAGAATGGAGGAGAAGAAGGGGCAGGATTCTGGGGGAGGTATGGTCCCAATTCCACTGTCCAATGTTCGCATCTTGCTGCCGGACCCTGCGGCACAAGGAGAACAGTTGAAGTGGTTCAGGATAGGGGAAAGGCAGGGAGCATAACAGGAATGAAATATCAGGACAACCATTGGTGAAGTGGTGCTGAACTGTAGAATACTCTAGTTTTAGTTATTGAGTGATGGATTTTCTTTCACTTTACCTAATTCTGTGTCTCTGGGGAAAATCTGTAAAAAAGTTTAATTATATAATCTTAACATGCTACAAATGATAACTTAGGGTTTGAACTGGTAAAAAGACACATTTGTGCATTGACTGTGGCTTTGCAGCTCAGTAAAAAATATTTTCTGCAATATCAAATTATTTCCCTCATGTGTCCTTGCCATTCTTTGTGCATTAAGAGATTTGAGCAGTATATCTAAATAGTTTAAGTCAAACCTGACTGAAATATTTTTCCATTAGATTTTCTCTTTCCTCTCCTCTGTCAATTTTGCAATGGCTTGTTTTTCTTTTTGTAAGAGGCAAATTTGATAATAGTGCCCATACATACAAACTATATACAGTACCTAACTGATACAAATCAAGCCCACTTGGACCAATGCTTTGTTTAAATGCATTAGTGAGGGTATGATTGCTTCCATGCACTGGCAAAAAAGTAAATATGAAATGTACATGGCATACTGTATGAGATGACCCTTGGTATAATTTTTTATTGAAATATATCAAAGATAGAAATCAAGCATTCACAGTTACGCCTTAAGATATAAAGATGCAAAACTGAACAAGATCTGAAACAAATCACTGAAATACAAACAGAAACATAATGAGACTTTGTGCACTTGTAAAGTTTGTGTACCTGTAACTCTGTCAAATCAGTGTGAAATCAAATCTAAAGCACGGGTACATCCAGGCCATAAAAACAAGTGATTTGGTTTGTTTTGAAAATGAAAAAAAGCCATATGACTTCAGGCTTCCAAGTAGTTTCTGAGAAAATGCTGCTTAAAAAAACACAAGGGGCCTGTAGCAGGAACCTGTGGGCAATCACAGCTGAGGCAACAGCTGCTACTCTGTATTAATGAAGACCAACACACATTACGCTTTGCAGACTACAACATTTCTATTCCCATTTTTGATAAACAGCTTATGTACTTAAATGATGACAAAATATCTAATAAATTGAACGTTAATAAGACTTATTTCCCAAGTCATTTCGCATAAAATTTCTCCTCTGATTGACTTGTTGCATAGAACAGATATCCAAAATATGATCACAGAAATAGACAACTGATCATTTTAAGTAAGAATCTAACTGAAATGGCAATATTACTGTCCCCCTCAAACATGATCTATAAGTGCCATGCCCAATCAAAAGCAGCTTAATGTAACAACTCTGCTCCAATGATCATGTGTGCAGTCGCATAGAAATAGGAAATTTTGAGGTGGGCCACGTACTTCCCATTGGCTTCCCCATCTTTTTGGGTTGGGGCCCTTAAAAGGGGCCTGGCAGCCTCTGCAGGGGTTGGCCAAATTATATTTGGGCTGTTATTAGTGATGGCTTGCGCCTATGACAGGGCCTGAAGGAGAGACACAGAGCTTGAGGACCTGGCTGAGCTCTGGGGCTCGCTGACCAAAAACCGATGGGGTGGGTAGAACGGGGCTCACATTGGCTGAAAGCTGAGAAAAGGACCTATGCAACGAGGTATAACATGGCTGGGTCCAGTTCCCGGCTGGGTCCGGTTCCCGGCTGGGTTCGGTTCCCGGCCGGGTCCGGTCCAGGGCTGGTTCCAGTCCCACCACGCCTGGGTCCGATTCCAGGCCAGGTCCGGTCCTGGCCCAGCTGGGTCTGAACCCCGGGTCCGGTTGCGGTACCAGAACCAGGCTCTGACTAACCCGCCAGGTACCAGAACCAATGTATCAATCAGCTTCACAGCTGTCATGAGATCGGCTGCGCTCCAAAGCAACCACAACAGTTTGGCCCCACCTCTGAACATTCCAAACTTGACAGCTGTGACTCATCATTAAGCCAACTGATGGTCAGACACTTTTTATCAAAAGTTGACCCTGAAGCCCTGCCTGCTGTTCGAAAACTATATAGGATAGCTTCAAAATTCTCACTCACTCACTCACTCACTCACTCACTCACTCACTCACTCACTCACTCACTCACTCACTCACTCACT